CACCCTTGTGCTAGCATGTCATAACAGTGTTTGCAGAAGAGAAAGAACAATTGAAAACATCTTTAAACAAAAGAAGAAGAAAAAAACAATATCTAGAAAGGGCATTCCCAGCACAAATACTCAGGTAAAATACCTTTTCCGCTGACCTCCAAGAAATCTGAAAGTCTATGGGAACAATCCACTTAAACTGGTCGTGGATCATTGTAATGCTATTACTGACTTCTGGTGTGAGACCAGACCTAGGTCCTATATACCATCTAACTCAAAGATAGTAGCTTCATCATCATGATAGTACATTAGCTATTACTACACTAATTCCCATTTTGCCAGTGAGGATACTGAGTTAGCCGGCAGTTATTAAAAGGCCTTATGAATCATGATGTTAATGTGACATCCATGGGGAGAAAAAACAAGGAAAGCGTGCAACATCTAAATAGGAACCTATTCTGGGTCTGTGAACTGGAATTGCAAAGTCTGTTGTGGCAAAGTGTGCGGCAACAACAGATTCTGAAGAACGTGGTACTAACTGTTGACCACTTTATATGCATGCTGCTAGCTAACATTCATTGCAGAGTACATGCAAGTCTATAGACATGCAAGCATGCATACATGCACAAATAGGCAGAACTAGGAGGACAGCAAAATTATCACACAGATACAGACTCCATGATGCAAACTGAGATGGAGAGTGATAGAAATGTAGCCGTGTTAGTCTGGGGTAGCTGAAGCAAAATGCAGGACAAAGTGCTACATTGTCCTGCAACTGAGATGGAGGTCATGTAGGCATGGTGAAAAGAAAGCACAACATGGAAAGACGTGAGAGGAAAAGACAGACTGTACAAAGCCCTCTGCACTTGCTACAGAGCTAAACATATAACGGAGGGGAAAGGGTGAAAATTAGAGCTAGTTGACAATTTCTGAATTTCGGAATTTTGACAACATTTTAAAATTCAGAAAAAAGGGGGAAAGGTTTCAGTGGTAGTTCCACAAAATTCTAGCCCTCTATCAGTCTGAGTAGCTTAAAAGTTGATCTAATGTTTTCAATTGCCAAAATATTAAATTTTGAAATTCCAAAATAAAAAAAATAAAATAAAAAGGGGATTTTTGAAAGAAATTGCACACAATTCACTTCCTTTTTTTTCTAGCATGCTGTGTAGAAAATGACTCCATATTAATTGTTTATTCTATTATTTACAGACAAGGACTTAATTTTTCATGCAGTCTGTTACTAATAGAAAGCCGAATGGTGGAATATGTGGTAACTCCAGTGAGTATCTCACTTGAAGGGGATATGCTTGCAACTAGTATTGAATTCTGGATCTTACAGTCAGATTAACATTCTGGGCAAAACTCAGCTCTGAGTTTTTCTCATGGGACTCCATTGATTTCAGCTGCAGTGAATAAAGTAGTCTATGCCATGCAAGTAAAGCTACACAGTTATATTATTTACATTATTTTTATTGCACAACTAGCTAGGGATACTGTTTAGGGGTGTTAACAAGACCCACCAAAGGGAAATGGGTGGATGAATAAGTAGAGAGAAAGTTTGATGCTAAGCAGGCTAACCTATAATAGAAAAATATATGATTTAGTGTACAGATCCAGAGGTGAGACAGAAATGCAGAAAAGCTAGGTACATCAAAAACATCCAAGTAATATAGCTATAAATAGCTATCGATGCATGAGACTGTTAACAGCTAAAAGAATGGACAACAGAAAATGCAAGTAACAGTGTGACGGTTGAATAACAATGTGGATGGGTGGTAGAAACATGTGAAGGCAGCCACATTTAGACAAATGGACCGAGAGACAGAGCTAGAAGCTCTGGGTGCATGCGTGAGAGCCAGATAAAATGACACATTGTAAAAAGATGAATGAATAGCAGACACTCAGGAGTTAAACCCATGAAAGAATATTTAGACGGACAACAGATACATTGTTATGAGAATTCCTTGTCACAGTGAAATATCTATATCTATTATCCTGAGAGTAAAACTTTCCACAGGAGGTGTCACTTTTATAGTCTGTATTCCGCTATGGATGTTCTTGGGCCTTCCAGAGGAATTCCATTTTAATTCCTCACTAATGCTGTCACTATAAAGCACACTGATGTCCTGCCAGGGTGTAGGTGTTTGGGATGGAACAGGGAGTGTTCCTTTCTAGTATTTCTTGTTTGTGTCTTTTGCCCTATTTATTGGGCACTATCAGTTAAGTGCCAGATCTCCACTCAACCCAAGTTCTGTGTCTCGACACTTTCAACACACCCACATTAGAATTTCAGCATCAGGATCAACCATGGACTCTTCATCCTCTTTTGGGCCCTCCATTTAAATATCCCTCTCTTCGGTTTCAGCTAGTTAGCCTTGTACCACCAGAGAACACCAAAGGGGAAGTAACTGATGGCCAGGATCTGAATTAGGGTCTTGCTTGAGGTGAATACCACAATGACTACCATTAAAAATTCTGTATGGCCAGTAGTCACTGCATACTGATATTTGCAATACCCATTTATGTCTCTACTTTAAAAAGGAATCAGACGTGGTAACCGTGTAGCATCTGCTGGCAAATTACTTTTCAGTGGGAACCACTGCAGGTCCTATCAGGCTGGCACACCTATTCATGGTTGATAACGGTACTCAGCATGTGGGAAAATGGGGACACGACTTTAGACAAGCAGAAGCCGTAAGAAAAAGGACTGACACAGAAGAGTCCTCAGCAGATAGAATTAATCTGCTTTAGTCATTCAACAGCGTAGGAAGCTACCTTCTCCAAGCCATGCTCCCAATCAGTTCTTAGCATGTAACTCCCTTCCAGATGCAAGAGAGCATCTCATTCAAGACAGGTCACTGGACAATCTGCGCACCGCTGCAAAGGAACGTTACGTGGGCACTCAGCTTTTATAAAGTCCATTCTTTTATTTCCACATGCCAGGCATGCATTACTGTCCCTCCTTCTCCAGCATCCACATTGTGCTACTCAGGCACTGCTCCAGAACAGGGGCAGGGAGAAAGCTGCAGTCTGACTGCTCAGTTTCCTCAAAGATCGGCTATGTGGGGGTTACACTATACATTGACTCTGTGTCGATAAATATATTTTGAAAGATGCTAGAGAAATGGCCTTTCTGGATAATGTAAAGCGTATTCTCCTTCACTTCTCAGGTCATTCTCAACTGCAAATATACCATGATCTTGGGTGGAACATCTAACAAAGTGGGCCTTGACTATGGAGCCCTTAGTTAATAACAGAAAGGCTGTACCTGTTGTAGCCACAGCTTCAAGAGGATGGGAGCGCTGTCCTCCAACCATTCCGTACACCTTGACTTTATAGGAGGTGTTAGCCTGGAGGCCATCAATCACAGTGCCTAAGACGAGTCCAGGGACGGAGATTTCTGCAAAGGGCCCTGCTGCCAAATCCACCTCCTTGTACTCCACCACAAAACTAGTGTAGGCTCCTGAGTCCACCTTCCACGAAAGACTAAAGCCATGCGCCGTCACATTGGAGACCACCACATCCCTCAGCGTATCCTCCCCCATCCCTGAAGCCTCTGAGCTCCAAGATCCAGAGTATTCATCTGGGCCAGGAGTCACCTGCCACTTTAGTTCTAGACTACGGGGGGCTATAAAGAAACAAACAAGCAAAGTAGAGAACTTAATTCCTTCCTTTTTAAAAAAGAACAAAAGTCAATGAACTGGGCACTTCATATTTATTCCCCGGCTGTGAATAGACCCATCTAAGCAGATTTTGAAACCAGGACTAGCGGCACCAAAGCACGATCCTCTGCCTCACGAGCTAAAGGATCCATTTAGTTACTTAGCAGCAGTAGATGATTGTGATCCACTAGTGAGCTGGAGACTAACAGGAAGCGTGACATGCCCTTTGCCATTGTGTTACACAGTGTGCCAAGATTCATTATATGTGGATGTGCATGCACACAGAGGCAGTGAGTGTTGTTTATATCCTCAGCGGGAGAGTGAAGGCAGTATGAGGGACTGCCAAAGAGAGAGACAACGCACAAGAAAATAACATCTGCCACTCAAGGAGCAATGCCTATCTTAGGGTGTGTCTAGACTACAGGGTTTTGTTGACAAAAGTCCACTTTTGTCGACAAAACTATACCTGCGTCTACACTACCGCTGAGTTCTGTCAACATAATGTCGACAGAACTCAGCAGTTTTGTCGACGCTGGTAAACCTCATTTTACGAGGCATAACGCCTTCTGTCGACAGAGTTCTGTCGACGGAAGGTGTTATTGCATGTAAACTGTCCTTTGCGTCTACACTACCATGTCGACAAAGCAGCTTGCTTTGTCGACAGAACTGAATGTAGTGTAGACGCTCTTTGTCGACAGAAGCTTTGTCGACAGTATCTGTCGACAAAACTTCTGTAGACAAAAGCCTGTAGTCTAGATGTACCCTTACAGGA